TTTTTTTTTTTTTAAATTAAAAAGGGAAGCCAAAAATCAGCTTAGCTAGAATTGAAGTTTGAAAAAAAAAAAAAAAAAAAAAAAAAAAAAATCCCTTTTTCTCCTGTCTTCCTGTCCTTTGCTACAAGCAGAAGCGTGGCAGTTAAGATGTTTCATTGTGCTTTCTTTACATGTGATGTAGTAATTACTTCCTTATATTTTCCTCTTTAAAAGGCTCCCATAAAAGCCACAGATACTTTAAAGGAAAATACAGTAGGAAGACAATTCTAGTAAAAAAGAGGACAGATTTATATTCTATTAGATAAAGATATAATCATTTAAAAATGAGAAAATTTTAATACTGGCTTTAGAATTAAATGTTCTTGCAGTTTTTCAGAACAGATGTCAAAACTGTTACTGCTGTTATAAAGGGACAGCTGGAACCACTTTGAACTGACAAAATAGGATTTCTTTGGTAGGCTTGGCAATTAGACAGAAGGAGTTACAAATTAATTTTTCTTTACAAGTATGAGTCAAGTTTTGAGTCACGCTTAAAGCAGCCTACACGTGACAGCCTTGTTGGATGAAAACTGGGGAGTTCTGTAAGTAATGGCAAACTGAGGAGAGCTGCTTCAGAGAGGGTGGGTTTGTCCAAACTAGTAATTTCTTAGTTTGTAATCCCCCTGAGGGACCCGATGGACGTTACTGGAGGAGAGCACTGCACAGAGAGGCACGGGCAGGGATGGAGCCCTTTCAGCCAGGCTGTGCGATGCACAGACCAACACTGATAACAATAAGCCCCAAGTCCCCGGTAGCGACAGCAAAACATTAATGTGGCTTGTCTTTCATCAGCAGTAACATGAAAACTCTCTAAAGGCTAATAATCTCTAACGACCACAGCCGTTATAACTAACATACTTTAACCTTGTTTTTTGACTCTCACCTTTAAACCTAGAAGTGTTTGTACAATATAAATTTCATACACTTTATGTTACTTAAAATTTGGTTTTCTTTCTTAATTAGAAGTAGAAAGGAAGGACAGTCAGATCTTAGCAATACCCGACATTTTAGGCAAAAAAGCCTATGTTCTTTAAATGACAGGAAATTGATTAAACCTGTTGAAAACATGGTGCAATTAAAAAAATCTGAGTGCACCTTCGGGGCCAAACAAACCTACCAAATTTTGCCTATCCATATAATCAAACGTACACATTTTTAAAAAGAACACGGGAGATCTCTAGGCTGAAGTGTAACTTGCACAAAAACGTGAAGCCTAGAGGTTTTTCCTAACGTATTTCCCCTATTATTCTCTCCAAGGCTTTGCTGTGAGTCTCCAAGTGATTCTGTCGCATCCGAAAGCCGTTTTCAAGCGTCGTGGTTCTCAGCCGGGAATGCAAGAATCCGATTTTCTGAAACAGATAACAACAGTGGAGGAACTGGAGCCAAAAGCAAACAACTGCACAAAGGTACCCATTTCCACACTTACTATGAATCTTCCATCTTGTCTGCAATGACCCTACTAACAGAACTGTTATTTTATAGGTTCTTGTATGGCACACACGAACAGAAAAAGTAAATTTAGCTAATGAGCCAAAATACCACCTGGACACAGTCAGTATTGAGGTATGACCTGGGGACAGAGCTGAACAGAAGCACAGGACAGGGGTGTGTCGGAACAGTCCACTTCTGCACGAGACCTTGTCATGGTCACCTGATGGACTTCTGTGGAAGCAAAAGGAAGCTGTCGAACACCCCAACAAGCCAATCATGTGGATGTGCTTTGTTCTAACTTGTTTGCATGCACTTCTGAGCTCATCTCTTAATAAACTGACACTTACCCTTGTTTTAAGGCTGTTTCCACATAGTAAAAACAATCAAGAGAAATGTGGCTGCAATGGAGCATTTTCAAAATCATCGTTTATGTATACACTTTTTGTATTTACCCAGCTTAATGGCGTAATTATATACTGATTTTAAATCACAGACTGTTGATCTAAGTATTTGCATAAAGAGCTCCTCCAAATCGAACATGTTTTCCTTCATTGAAAGTAGACTTCTTGAAGAAATAGCAGTCAGATAGGTCATACAATAATGAAATAAAAACCCACAATCATTTATGGATTTATCCTTTTAATATAGGGAAATAACATTTTATCATTACGAGGCACCATAAAATGTAAACACAATCACTGTCATAAACCTGGAAATTTCTGCAAAGAAAAATCTATCTGTTCACACTGAGTTCCCTTGTATGCATATTGTGTCGTTAGTTCGCAGCATTAATACTGTTGTGTGCCTCATCAGCCAGATCAGATACTTTATCACAGGAAACTCACATGGATCAAATGCTCATTTTTAAAAGAATAAACTATTGATTTGTAGAACTACAGCAACATCCAGGTTTATCTTTCTTTCAATAACCATATTCCCTGTTATGCACACCATAATAACATCACAGTGAAATGTATGATGAAACAAAATTTGTTTGATATACTAGAAAACATTGCTCAGTGATACATTTACATTCTATTTATATATCATTAAACATTTGTTCATACAGTACCTTCTACAGGATTACCGGGTAATTTGGGGGGGTCAGGGTTCATATTTTTGGCTATTACTAACATGATAGCTACATCCCTTATATGCAAACATTTGATCTAGAATTTTGAGGGGAAAAATTAAGTATGTGGTTAAGCAGCTTCTTAAATATATAGTCTATGAAATCATACGCATTGCATGAAAACGCTGCCAATGATACATAAATGTATTCTTGATTTGCTTTTCACTACATCAAATTTAAATCAATATAGACCACAACACGGTCAGTCAGTTATATTCTTAATCTGAACAGCTGGGGAAAAAGAAACAGAGTAGGTACATGGAAGGAGCAGTGAAAGGAAATGCATCTGAACAAGGAATGTCAGTCGCTGTTCCGGGTGAGACTTCCATTGCAACTTTCATTTCCAGAGTTGTGTGCTGAGAGTCTGACCAGAGGAGGTTCCAGTCCATCCTGCTGCTGTGCTGGGGGGCTGCCCAAAGCCCATCACGTTGCTGGAACTGCTGAGATTCATTCCAGCCATTTGCTGATTCATCTACAGAGCACACACATGAGCGAGTTAGCACTGCTGTGGAACACACCCACAGCCAGAAAGCAGCCAGCAAACTAGCAACACAGTTAAAGTACGTTTTCCCTGAAACTAGTATTTCTTATTAAATAGCAATATTGACTCAATGTAAGTTTCTAAGCCTGTTTCAAGAGGGCAGCTTTCCTGGAGCTGGTTTCTGTTCAGGTGGTCACCACGGCACATCCCGAGCAGCCGCGGGGCGTTCGTGTGGCGGCTGAACTCACGGGGGGTGACAGGGGAGCCCCGTGGGGCTCAGCTGTAAGAGCTGCTTTCAGCGTTTCACAGCGAACCAACAGAATTGTGGCAACTGCAATAAGGAAACACCAAAGCAAGGGACAGCCCTGCCTGCATTTGCAACTCTGGATGTGTTTTGTTCCTGCAATACTTCTCAAAATACCTCAAAATCTTGAATACGCAAGTTTTTGTAGCAATTGTCCATTTACTTCGGTGGCAATCAACAAAGAATGAGGCAGCTTTATAAACTTGGATATTATCTAAATCTAACTATTCTCTCTACTCAAGATACCGTTAATGTCTCAAAAACCAAATTAAATAATAGACACGAAATTAAAGATGATGTCTAGTTAAAGGTGGGAAAGAGTTCAAAATTCAGCACGTTCACTTCAGGGATGGTGCAAAAATATTTCTACTCTCTACAAATACTCTCCGGTCACTGTAATTTTCAGTGCCCAATGTAAAAGCATTCTTCAGGTTACTATCCCTTGCCTTCTAAAAAATGGACACTTATTGAGAAGCCAAAAACTTAGCTGTATAGACAGACAGAGTGAAGACGTCCCCTCTTATGAGTTCGAGAGCAAAAGAGCATTTGGAGCAATTAATAATCAGAGCCGATGAACAGGGATGTTGGATAAGCAACATTAGATTCAAGTTAGAGACAGCATTAGGTAAAAAATCAAGAGTTCAGGTAAACATGAGTGGACAATACTGGGTTGCAAAATGAAACACCGGTGGAAAAAAAAATGTTAAATAAACTGCAGACTAACATTTCAGGGTAAAATTGAGTACTGTGCGCTTTCACATGTGTATCTGCAAAAACAACCCATCACAGAGCATGGAAATTCAAAAAAGCTGATGAGAACATGCTTCACCTAGTTGTTAACCTCTTCTGGAGCAGAATTCTTTGAAAGTAGACTAAATCTATAAAGCATGCTTTTCTGGCGAGTAAAGCACTTTCTGGTGAGTTTCTGGTGAGAAACTGGTGAGTTTCTGCACTTTGGGCTGCAGTCAGGGACAGATGACAGTTCCCCTCCGGGCTGTGGGGTGTCACCGCGCCGGTAACACCCCATGGGCAACAGTACAGAACTGCGGTACGAGCTTGGCTGGTGAGCCAGCTCTTAATGTGTGTTTGATAAGAAGCATGACTTCAATTTCAAAGCTGTTACGAGTCTTTTTAGATACCTAAAAAAAGACTGTTAACAGTAAATCCACATATTTTTTTTTGGTTTGACATTTTGAAATTCTCACCTTTTAAAAATGACTTTTGAAAGCAGGATGTCAGCCTGCATTTCCAAACAGGGGGTGTTTTATCCATGTAGGAAAGAAATGCTGCTCACTTTCTCAACACCTGACTGAGGTGAGTAGACAGGACTGAGTAGAACAGTAAAAATAAATATATAAAATCTAAATAAGTCACTACGGTTAATTTCCAAAATTACTAGAATAGGCAGCATGGAATTATTAAATTGTTCTTATAATTCAAAGAACAGTATGAAAAAAATAGTTGCTATCAGTTGCCATACTGAACTCCAAGGGAATCATTTTGGTTTGTTCTGTCCCTCCCAAATAACTTCTCAAATACCTGATTTCAAGATGTTTCACTGGATAATGTACAATACAAATACAGCACTAAGTGCACACTAACACTTTTAGAGAACCTTTTAAACATGTTTAAGAAATTTAAAAAAAAAACAGCACAGAAATGCTACAGGTAAATAATGGATTAGCCTAAAATTAGCTACTGGAGACCGTTAGAGTGCAAAACACTGCACATTCCACTGAAATTTATCCTGAAGTCTGTAAATGGAAGTATTAATTGCTAATGGCTATCCTCAAGCAATTAAATTCTGCTTTTTGTTATAAGGCTGTGTTTACATTTCAATATTTTGTAACTGTAGCTAAGCTCACTTTTTACCAGGGTGGTTCAGACCCGGGATGAGAGTAGCTACAGAGGGAGAGAACTACCTTTGCTCTACTTTGGCAAAAACTATTCTCCGCTTATATGCTATTTGTCTTTAATTATTGACTGATTTTTGTTTCCCAGTACCTCTGAGCAGTTCACAGACCAGTGGTCTGTAACTGGGCTACCTCGCAACTTCCCTCCTACAGCCAAATGTTTGCTGAGAAGCTGTTGAAAAGCAGCATCTTTCCTAACGCACTCGTCTGGGAACAGCAAGTCTTTACCTGGGAGAGGTTCCATTGAGCCTGCTGGGTTTGCTGCAATCCGTATTTGTTTTGTGGCGTCACCATCTGTCCCACCATCCCACTCTGAGGTCCAACGACATTTTGAGGAAGTCCCATCACACCAGTTTGTGTAGTACCAGTAAATCCATTGGGCATTCCCATTCCTACCATGACGCCCGTGCTCTGTCCCATGACTGGCACCGACTGTCCCATCATGTTTCCCATCATCCCGCTCGCTGCAGGCACAGGAACCCCCATGGCCGGAAAGCCCTGAAAATGGGTTGATGGCTGTGTGGTAAATGGCATAGAAGACGATCCCATGAACATGCCTGTACCACAGAAAGGAAGATTTCAGCACAAGTGTTTTGTGATTTTCTCCCCATCCCCGTGAGTCAGAAGCGCACCGCAGCCATTTTAAAGGATAACTGTGTCTGGCTGTACATCTCTGCTCTTAATTTAGTGTCTGGTAAAGTCAGAAATTGCTTAAAACCTCTCGAAGGAAAAGCACTCTCTGCCAGAAGGTAACTGCCAAAAAGAGTTTGGCAAATCCTTGTGGGGAACCAGGAGCTTTGCATCACTGTGCTGGCAGCCTTTGTTTTCACACAAACACGGCTCAAACGAAGCTCTGAGGCCTGTGCCGATGCCAGCAGCCTGCCCTTTGCGCAGCGGAGACTCGGACCCGACGCCATCAATTAGACAGCAGAAGCTAAATTCACAGATCTTTCAGTAAATTGTATACCTGATAATTTGAACAGCTATAAATAAATTAAAATCTCACTATTTTTATTTATTTTATTTCATTAATTTTCTCATTTTTATAAATGGTAAAAATAAGAACCTTCATGCGAATGTAGGTAGCAGGGTACCCACCCTTCATTTTACACTAGTAGGAGATAACTGTTGTAGGTAAAGCTTAAAATAAGGCTGCAATGGAGCCTTTTGAAAATTATTTACCCGGAGCACTTTGCTGCTGCATGGTTCCTGTGCCATACAGTGATAAGATGGAGTCTTTGGAGAGTGGTTTTTTTGCCAACTCCTCGGATTTTGTTGTTTGCTCAGTGAACAGATCAAGATCCCCCGACGCCGCAGACAAGGAGGCAGCTGCTGGTTTAGTAGAAGTGCTCTGGGAAATAAAGGTTAAGACAGGCACTGAATAAAACCGGCAAAAGACATAAAGTTAATTATTTACTGCACATCCCCACTCCTAAACCAAATAAAAACCAGCTCATTTACAGAAATTAATTTTAAGCAAACGAGGATTTAAAAAGATGTTGTGTGACCAAAGGCAGAAGCGCAGCACCTAAATAGGGAAAAAGGGCTGGACCAGGCGGTGGTTACAAAACAAGGAAAACTCAATCCCCGAGCAGTGCCAGGGCGGACACGCAGCAACATTCCTGTTGCTCCTACATTGTTCATCAGTGAGAAGCATAAATCATGAGCTGTAGTCAGACTATGAAAAATAATTAAGAAATCAATAAG